GCCGAGAACTGCCGTGCCCTCCTTGATGGGGATGTTGTAGATCGCATCCTTGTCCTTGGTAGACGGGTCCTTTCCGGCGAGCATGGTGGGTGGGCCGGCTGGATTGCGTACCACTCGACTATTGGCGGGCTCGGGCTTCCCATCGCCGGATCTCGTCGGGGCCGGGGCGTTGTCAGCTGTATGGGCGAGTTCGGCACTCACCCACTCCCAGGCTTCGGCAGCCGTGCTGCGGGCACAGGCAAGAATCCTATCGCTGGCGAATGGCTGCATCTTGCGCTGTTCTTGACCACTCCGTATGCTCCATTGCCCGTTCACATACCCGTACCAAAAGCGGCTGGTTGGACTGGATGGTACTCCAGGGGAGAAGCTGGGTGTCGGCGAGCCGTACCGTCGCCTGTCCCCGGGTGCCTATCTCGGAGTCCTTCCTGGCGAGCCTTGGCGGCCAGGGCTTGTTCAACGCGTCGCTGAACCTCTGCTTCCTGCTTGTATTTGGCGGCCTCAGCGGCCTTCGCTCGTTGTGCTCGGCTGCCTCGTGTTCACGTGGAGCTTCTGGACGGCCATCTCAGGCTCGTTCTTGCTCATAGTTTGCTCCGCGAGCCGCTTTTCTTCTTGGCGACTTCCTCCTTAGCTCGTTCCTGGGCGGCCAGCTCCGAGATCTTTCGGGCTCTCTCTGCCTCGTTCAGCGAGCCTTCGGGTGTTTTCTTGCGGGCAGCGATCTTCTGATGACCCGGGATGGGGGTGCTGAAAGATCCGCCGGTATCGCTCGAGAAGGTCCGGCGAGGCCGGGGGCTTCTTCGCCTTCGAGGAGATCGACCCTCCACGTCCCTTGGTGCTTCCACTCGAAAAGCTCGTTTGGCGTCAGGCGATCCCATGTTCACGGTTTCCACCGTGATCCGGGAGAGCGTTCGGCGGGTCCTTTATGGAGCGCGGCTTCGTCCTCAGCTCGCTCTTTGGCTTAAGAGCGGCCGTTTCGTGGGGGACAAGGCGGTACTAGCGATTCCGTCAAAGTATTTGTCATTGCGTCTAAGCACCCCTTCAAAGGAGTACCCCACCTGGTTGGACCGAGTAGCTCCTCGGTGACCGCTCGGTTACACTCGATACCACGGTCACTGAAACAAACATAGACGGTACCTTTCATGACGAATCGGCTCGACAAAACATCTCCTTGCACACCACTCGGCCGGTGTGCAAAACGCCGCCATCTCCGACCCCGGACCCTAAGGAAGTCACACTGTGTGACCCGCCGCTGGCGTCATCAAACTCTAAGTCCATGCTTACTTTTCTTCAGAGTAAGGTTTGGCGAGGAGGCGGTCACACTTGTCGGGCAGCAGATACTTTCTCAGGTTGCGGACGCTCACACTAATTACCCCCAGTCAAAAAAGGAAAATTGGTGTAGGGCGGCTGCAACTCTGGTTCAGAAAAAGTGAACCTGATTTGTAGCCGCCCGATTAGTAGTCCTTCTAGCTAGTCATCAACACCACCCACCATAGGCACACCAACCTGTGCCACCGACACTTCGGTCCACCACCTCATCCTTGGATGAGTGGCTCTCCCGGATTCCTGTCCGTCAGTCTCCCTTATGGTCGGCTCCCTGTTAACTCATACTCTCCGTTCTGTAGAATCTCTTCATTCCCTGTCTGGGAAGGTGGGCGCATTTTTGAAAACGCTTCCAAAATCTAATTAGGATTCGACGAATCCACGACTCGAATCCTGATTCGTCCGGCAGTCTTCAATGATCGAGATCTACTAGTAGCTTATCGGGCGTGCCAAGCACGTACCACAAAGCAACATGGTACGATACCCTTGCTTGAGACCCAGCCAAGCACAGGCTTCATGGAAGGTGGCCCATTTCACAGTAAGCTTCTTTCCAAGTTTCAATATAACATGTACGTAGGAGAGCCAAGTTCTGGCCATTGAGACTTGTCGAAGCCACAGATTAGTTAGGTGGGCCTGGGACCTCCCATCCACGCACCGCCCACCCAGAAGCAATTGAGGAGTTCAGCCTGTGAGCAGATCGGAGCATGGCATCCTGCAACCGCAAGCCTTTTGGCCCTTGTGTTGGTCCCCAACCTAATTTGTGGCCCCTGATCCCACAGAACCCTCTAGCTAGCTAGATTGAGTCTCAAATTTGGTTTCTTCTTTTCGTTGCGGTACTAGTAGCCTCGCCCATTGCCTTAATCCCTCCGGGGACTTTGTAATTCCTGAGTTAAGCATTGCCTGCTTCCGCAGCTGCTGGCCTTTCGGTACCGTCCATACAAGCTTGATTAACACACAGGTGCGGATTGCAGCTAAACAGGCTTGATTTGAGACTTGGATGACTGTCACTCAAGCATTCGCTTCCATGGCCAGTCGGGTGTCAACGGTCGACTCGACTCGACTCCAAACATCCAAACCTGCGCCCATGGAGATAGACAGACACAATCCAACCCTACCCAATCGAAAAAAACAACCAACCAAGCAATCGCTAATAAAGACAGCGCCAGCAATGAACAGCAAAGCATCACATGTGGTAGATGAATCTGGAGCGGTGGCCATGTTTCATATCCCAGCAAGCAGCAGCAGCATTAGCAATCAGATGGATTTGCCGTTTCGCCCCGACACAGTCGACGAGAGCGACGAAGAAGCGAGTCACGGCGTGTTTAGCTTTACCGAGTTTACTCCGTTTGTGTCGTATCCATTGGTGTTTCCCTACCAAGACGAAGCGGGTGGCTACGGCATGAACACGTCGCGCAGTATGCTGACTAGCACGGACATGTCCTACCTGAAAAGTGTGGATTCGGCCTTGTGGAAATCCTCGGATCCAACATCGGATGGAAGCAGCAAGCGCATGAAAATGGCACCGCCACTGCAAGATGCTCCTTCTTCCTGTGTTATCATGTACGAAACCATTCTACAAAATCCACTCAGTTTTCCTACCGCTGCCAATACGCCCACAACCGAACTTAACCCAAAAACGCGAGACGAGGAATCACCGTCTAGTAGTGATTCCTCCTCCTGTGCTTCATCAACTTCACCATCATCGTCATCCAGCATTAAAGACACCGCCAAGGATACCAGCCTCAGCAAGAACAAGGGATCTCACAAGAGTTACCCAAAAACGAAGGTGACGGCAATAAAAAGAAGAAGAACCAAACCCCACTACAAGATTGACATGCAGCTTTTGCATCGTCCAACAACAGTTCACGGAACTTGAACAAGAACATTACTTTTAAGAATGGGATGTGGAGGAAAAAAGATTCCTCTCCCAAATGGACCAAGCAGGGTAGGGTGGAGACCGGCTCTTCACGGGTACACATGACACAAGCACAAGCAAGATCGTCCCACACAAGAATGGAAAAAGTGATCAAGAAACACACTGCCATGAAACCTGCCTGCCATACCGGGCCCAAGTAAGGCAAATCCAAGACGGAGACTTTCCATACGGTACCAAGAACATGCAATCCACAAATACGGTAGTATGGATGATTCGATTCGATTCGATTCGATTCAACTAGATCTACCTGTAGGGTGCCAATACCATGGGGGCAAAAGAGGAAATCAAGAGGAGCATGTTTGGAGAGAAGCAAAGCATACAACGCACCTCCTTCAGCCGCACAAGCATGATGCACTCCATGGTACCTGCCTTTTCCGAAGCATGGATTCGATTCGATTCGATTCGATTCGATTCGATTGCTTGAATCGTTCGATCATCATTCTGATGCTAGAAGTCTATGGAATTTGCCATTCTATAGAATCAGAGACCTTTCTATAGAATCAGCGGTTTTCATTCTATAGAATGGGAAGGGCACAGAAAGGTCACAGCACCCTTCCACAGCGGCACCAGCAAGAGCAACAAACAACAACAGCAGCAACACATGGCGTTGTGCCACAGCCTCATCAGTGGATAGTGGATCAATCCATCGCTACTACTGCTACTGCTACTGCTACTACTACTGCTACTGCTACTGCTACTGCTACTACAGTCGTATTGCAATAAGGTAAGTCTATTATCAAGTGTATTATTGAAGGCAAAGCACTGACTTCTCATAGAATTGACAGCCTCATCAGTCTTCTCTCCTTCATTGACTGAATATGGAGCTTGACCGACAATAAGAGTACATGTACCGGTATTGTTGAACCTATCAATGGATTGATTATCAAGAGTGTTGTTGAAGGTGCAGATTCGAAAGCCATCCCTCATTTATTTCTATGGACTGAGGGAAGGCAGTCAGATCTCGGCGAGTTGTTCTTGAATTATTCGAATGGGATCGTTGCACCTCTTCTATCAAGCCTCACTCAAGCCGACCGTCTCCGGTGCAGAACTGAAAGCCATCCCTCATTGAATTATATGGACCATGGGATGGCAGTCAGTTCTTGGCCACTGACATTCAAGTTGGTGGAATTTGAAGAGCAACAATCAACCATCAACCATTGTCCACGATCAATCGATCAATCGATCAATCGATCAATCCGGATAACAAGAAGAGAGGAGAGTAAAGTCTGTGGATTGATGCATGCCCTATCACCAGCCTCAATGTCGTCCAATGGCAACAACAGTACTACCGGTAGTATCACAGAGCAACAACATTCTACAGATTTTCATGCTTTATTTCGTCTCCTGGAGACGATTTGCTTTAGGGGTAATGGTACCGATGGGGGCAGAGGTTTGAATTATACCCGGCGCGCATTACTTAGAAGGCCCTGTAGAAGTCTACGTATTCGACTAGTATTGTATTGACGGGATACAGTCAACGCATGTACATGCACATGAAGCCCTTGCGATTCTTCACATTTTAAAAGTTGGCTTTCCTAATTTTTCATGGTGCTTTGGACTTGGGACACACAGTTAGCCGTTGATTCTTCCTTCATGCATCTTTGGCCTTCGAGCACGAATCAGCTGTACCGGAGTCGTTCTTTTATGATCCGTCGCTGACTTCCACTGCCTTGCCTGTAATGATTGCCATTGCCACCTTATTACCGTCGTCCTCTGGGAAGGTGGTGTGCTGGAATGCCCAATTGTCGCTGCTGGGGAGTTGGTCAATCACAGAGCGTGTTGAGAGTGGTGGGATTGTGGCTGGGAGTTCATCGTCATCCATTCGGTGTGAGTGTGGGAGGTGCGAGGAAAGACCACTGGAAGGTACTTCGGGTGGTTGGCGGGTTGGGTTGATTCGCTGTTAACGGACAGTCTTTACACAGGTTGTTGTCTGGTTGGCCAGTGGGAGTCGAACATTGGGGTACTGTGTGCAAATCGCTCACGAGCCCTCCCAGTTTTCTTTCACGGAGCGACCTTCAAACCGCTTCCATCGAGTTCCGATTCCACTTTCGGTGTATTCCTGCCACAGAGTCTTCCCGTGGTACAAGGTGTAGCGCCGGGTTGTACATCAGGGCAGGTGGTATGGGTTGTATCCAGTGGCCAGATTGTAGTGATCGGTTTCAAGTCTCCTGTTGGGGTGTCCCTGTGTCCCCTAGAAGGGCAGTTTCCACAGTTATTTTCCAGTTGGTCTGTACTGCTAAAGGCAGAGATTGAGGTTGGCGCGGCCATTCCAGGCTGTGCAAGTGTGGTTCAATTCTAATCGTGTTGAAGTCTCAGTCGGGGGTGTTGTTTCACTGCGTCTGCATGCCTGGTGTATGCATGAGGTACTTCGGCCACATTGACTGCCGTTAGCAATGTCTCCTTTGTTCCTGTTTAAGCGATGGCATCCAGAATAAATCTTCGTTTCCTGTTCGTTAGACCGTTGGGGGCTTGGTGGTCGCCTGTATTGATTGACCTTGACGTTTTTTCAATGAAAAAAGAATTGAAATGACGACGAGGTGCAATTCGAATCTCAGAAAGGTATTTGTAGTAATAAAAGTTTATATATACAGATTAATTTAACCTATATCCCTACCGTTTATGAATATCTTATAAACAAAACCCTCTTTCTCGCTGAACATTTCATCGTATTGATCCTCTCCTAGGACAGAAAGCACAATAGTATCCTTAAATCTTCACAGAATGTTCTCCTCGTTGTGCATGGCAAAGTCTTTGATCCCAATCCAGCTTCTTCAATAAGACAAAACCACTCATGGTTCGCACCCTTGATAAACACGCCCGCAAAGCCATTTTTTGTCAGGCTATCGCCAGTAATGTACCAATAACCACATCAGTATATCCGTGTTTTGTTCCAGTTGTCGCAGATTGCTGATAAGCGGTATCCTCCGACTTTGTCCTTTCATCATTTGGTGTGATAACAACTTCTTCACGTCATAAAAATAACCTCTGTAGCTGAAAGTGTATTCTTGCTCCGTTACATAAATAGTACGTGGCATAATAGTTTCCATTTCATGTTCCACAATGATAGATTTGACTTTACCTGAGAAAAAAGCCCGGATCTTGCAGCCGTTGTCGAGATGTGAGATACCTTATGGTGGGGTGCTCGATCCCCTCAAGCATTCACCCTTAAATAGTCGCAATTAACGACCGATATCATGTCCTTCCTCGCATTCGGAAGCATGTCGTGTTTCTCCTGTAAACATTACCTTAGGAGGCATACCCATTCCCATTTATATTGAAGCTTCAACAGTCAGGGGATCAACACGTTTTCGTGAGTTCGAACCGGGTTTTAACGATTCTTCTCCACATGTTTAAAAGAAGTGCTTTAAAAACGAATTGCTCTTAACAGGAACAAGTGTACCTGCTTGATTGGCAATTTGAAGATCGTCCATGAAACTGAGTACTGCATCCATCAGCAAGGAATCATCAGCAGGTTTGTTCTTCCGGCAAAATTCTTCGAAGATAGCTGAGTTAATAGCATCTCGATCTCGATTCAGATAAGTAGCAACGTGAATGTTCTCTGGTGGAACATGTGTTGGGCCAACCACGCAGCCGTCATTGATGGTCTCAAAATCTTCTTCTGTTGGTCGACCTTCACGGAATCTTAAACAGCGTTGCCTCCATTCAGGATCGTCTTTTAAGCGGTGCATTCCATCTTACTCAATAAATGAATTCAGAGAATCATGAAATTCAGGAATGTTGTGCTGAAGATTGTAAATTGGGGCGCGTCCCACTGGTTCAAGATGAGAGTAGTCCCCCGAGAACACCAAGTTAAGTCCACCAAATGGTTGGTATTCGACTTGCATCAAGGTCTTGGTGTAGTGAAATATCTTCACTAAGTCAAGTTCCCCCGAGAATGAAATTTCGTCGATTTGCCTAGAGCATCCGATAAGCACCCAATGACATCTCCCTTACTCACAGTTTCTTGCGCCACCATCTACGTTCCCGAGTTCTGATTCAACCCACAGCTAATGCCGGTTTCCCAATGGTCAGTTATTGATAGCCAGCAACCCCCACATAGCAGAGTTGACAAGCAATAGTATCGGTCATATAAATGGGGCCGATAACATGAATCATTCAAAACTGCGCCGATATCTTTGTCCCCGTAGACCAGTGACTAATCAATGTTATCGTGGATAGTCAGCTTCCCACTAATCCCTCAGGCTGCCCATGATGTACGCAAGAGGAATCGGTGGGGAAACTTGCCACGATTTCCCTTCAAAATCAAAAGTGTTTTACGAGAAAGTCGGACTTTCGCCTTCAACCCCATATCCAGGACTCCATCCTCTAAGTACACCTTTTCAGCTTCCTCAAAAAATGTCAACAAGAAGGATGCAATGATAATACACTTCGAAAGCCCCTTCCATACGTAATTTGTCGTTCCACGACCATGTGTCTGAGAGGCTCGATGGTATATATCACCAGTCACTATCGAATTTAGCTTCTCAATGCTCGCCAATTCAGCCTAGCTGCGAACTGTCTAACAGCTGCTCGCATTGCATATCTTTTTAGTACAGTACATTTAGGCCGCTATTGGATGCGGCTTCCGTTGGTGTTCAGAAGTCTCCAGAGACTACCTATGTTCCTCTCTCAATGATCTTGTACATTGCGGACTTACCACAAGCCTGTACGGACTCTCTGATTGAGAAGGGTTCCCTCACTTCTGCCTTTCCCTTTCAGATCTACTGTGAGGTGCCAAGTCATGTCGTGAAAGCTCAATCTGAGCAACTTGAAGTGGATAAGCAGAGTTAACGTACGTGTCAGACTCCATTATAAGCGAGATTCTCAGGAGGCAAGGGAGGAAGCATCAGCCTTCATGCGTAAAGCTTCCATGTCAACGTGGGTTACTCTTGCACTAGTTAGTCGGCGGCATATACCGAGATGTTTGCTGTACGCATATCCGTTACAACATGAAGACCGAGTTCAATGCTCTAGCCTAATCCAGAAGAGTCCCATCGGCGACAGTTATTCGCCAATCTTTTTGCCGACGCAAGATCAGCGGCTGAGTCAACGATACTCATCAGTAAACCTTAATCAGGCTCAGTCGTTCTCATGGTCTGCCTGGGATATCCATTGGTCTGCTCATCTCGAAGATTGCGTTTTCGTACATTTCCTGCTCCTAGCCATGTAAGGAATGTGTGCTCTCAGGACTTAGCGTGTAATCGTTTGAATGGCATTCACATCCCTGTTTGCCCACTTAAGAATAATCCTCAGTTGCCCACCAATTGGCTACATGGCGTGTCCAAAGCGGTGTCTGAGTTCTGAATAAAGACAGCTTCTCTTTCTGAGAAGACGGACACAGGCTGTAACGATGTCCTTCTCGTTCCGAGTATCTGCCTTATTCATCAGTTAAACATCGTATTCATACATTTCAC